TCATTGGGATAATGAGCTCTGGATTGCATTTACAGGGATCTTTGTGCAGCACTGAAGTTCTGATTAACCAATGCAGTGCCACGGACAAAAAGCACAGTGAGCGTACAGTATATGCAACTGTACAGCAGGTCAAGCAGGACATATATTCATTTAACACTCTCTCACATCACTGCATATGGTAATTTAGCCCTAAAATACATACAAATATAATCTTTCATAATATAACAATTTACTCTCTCTCTCTCTCTCTCTCTCTCTCTCTCTCTCTCTATATATATATATATATACACACAATAAAAGGGAAAGAAAAAATAAAAATAAAAATAAAAAATCTATTCAGAAAAAAACTGAATTTACTGTAGCGTTAAATGTTGCAGAATTGTACTTAATTAAATCAAAAGACGTGTAGATCGGTATACAATGTGTCGTAAACAAGTGTCTGTGTGAGTGACTGATGTGTGATGCTGGTGTGTTCAACATCTGCCATCTCTCTTAATAAAAGAGCATCTGCAGAGCTGCTCTGAGAGTCACTTTACCATTTTATTTCTGAAAATCTTAGTGCCACCAATAATATTGTGCCACTGTATACACAGACACTAAAGCTGACAAAATGAATGTTGGTTTAACTTAAAGTATTTGTGAAATTAAAATGTTTAATGTATGTTTTGCTGTGTACATTGTTATTATTTAGATGAACAATTAATCTGTGCAAGTTAATCTATTGAAATTTTGTTTTGTTTTGTTTTGTTAATCTTCAATAAAGGTCTGACCACTTGCTTCTACATTTACAGTTTTTCTCAGTCGCTTTGGTGCGTTTCTCACAACACCAGTGCATTTCTGCACAACAGTTAATGCATTTTTCAAAACAATTAATACAAACTGCAAAACCTAGCTGATAACCTGCAAAAGCGTGTCACATGCTCAAAATGGATAGTTCATTCCTCAAAAGCAAGTATTCTTGTCAATGAAAGTGTCAGTATTATCAAAATAAAAAGTCCTGACACTATTGTTTATGAACAATATTGTCAAATGGCTAAGTCATGTTTTCATTATGACAGTTTACTCTGGACATTTTTTCAATGCAAAAAGTCAGGTTTTGGTGAAACTTACTGAATAGGCTCAAGACAGTGCTATATACTATTAGCACAGCCATTTGAATACTAAAGTAAAGTTAGAAATCACTGCATTTAGTGAGGTATTTGAGTACAAGACACCGAATATGTGTTTTTTACGTTTACTGCCTTTGCTCGTTGCAATTCTAATTTATTCACAGCATTGTGCAAAAGAATAAATACACCCTTATTTACAACAAACATAAACTTCCTTTGGGTAGAGCAGTGCACAACTGTAAACAATATTGCAGAACATATTGGAACTGAATCTACAACATACACAGGTCTGTAAATCATTCATGAAACTGTTCAATTTTTAAGACATTTTCAGGAAAATAAAGATTTACATTTTTTTATATAAAATTAGCTAGACAGATTTTGACAGCTAGTTCAACATTTTTGTATGTAATGACTCAAGTAATGAAATGAGGACTATTAGTCTTATATGGGATGACTATTCAGCATTCACAAGTTTAGTTAATTTTGACTGACATGACATGATAATGTTATAAATAGCAGAGAGTTGTATGAAAACAATTGATGCTTGTCCAAAAGCATCTTCAATTTGTTGGAAGGAATGAGAAACTGCTACTAGGATGTGCACAAATTGTGTAATTGTTTTGAGAAATGCATTAACTGTTGTGCAAATAGAAATTGTGTTGTGAGAAATGCAGCAAAGCGACTGAGAAAAACTGTAAATTGGCGGTGCTTTTCTTCAGACAATAGTTTGACAACTTCAGCCACAATATCCTTGACCACTTCCCTTTTACTGTTAGTTTGCTACATGATGTGCAAAAAGAAAGCCCTGTGCCTACTTAACAATACATTTCAGTTGAAAGTACATCAACAGAACAGAAATAAAAGTATCTGGCTCTCAACAAATGTTTGTGACAGAAAACTTATAATATATTAACCAGAATACCTAAATAGGTAGTTGCAGTTTTCCGGTGTAACTATTAAAGAGGAGTGATCAAATCAAATCTACAAAAACAATAGAAGTTAAATATAGGAATTTTTCAATAAATAAAAAAAGACTTCTTCTTAATATTTTGTGTAAATTGTCAGAATTTTTATTGAATTAAAAGTAAAAACATTTTAAATGGCTTTGCTGTAACTTCTCATATTAAATGTTCATTATAAATCCTATGAAATACAATCCAAGGATAACAGTTTGTGATAGATGCAATACAGGCTCATTGGAATTTGGAAATTAGCGCTTGCGTCTACATTATTAGCTGCAAAAAACTATTCGAACATACATTTGACTGCAGTTTCTAGGTTAAATGAATGCTATAGGGGCAGTATGGTGTTTGAGGCTGGTGATTCAAGGTTCCACAAGAGACAAAAGCAATCTAAAATCAAGATAAAACCATATGAGCCAAGTGTACTTTTCCTAATAGGCCTTGTCCACATGAACATGGATATTTTCATAACCGCACTTTTTTGCTACGTGATTCACTGTTTCTCAACATGAAAACTGAGTATCGGGTGACTAAAACCAAAACTTCTGAAAATTCTGGCCAAGGTGAAGATGAAGATTTTTTGATACTTTGGATACACTGAAACCGGGGTTTTTGCCTCATGATGTCAGCGTGCACACTGTTTTTTTTTTTTGATGTTTTATGTGCTTTCTGATTGGCCAACATAGCTTGGGTCACATCAAACATTGAAGTCAAAATGAAGTAATTTCTACAGATTTACGGCAAAAACGTAGCATATTTCACATTGTTCATACGGCAGGATGGTAACCCACATCTTTTCTCACTGCATTGACTTGTGAACCCTGCATAAAAGTCTCATTATATCTGCCTGTTGGTTCAGTGTGCCCTTAAGACAGAGATTTTTTTTAACAAAAGTGTGGAAGACTTTATAAAGTGTGTTTATAAAAATATCTGTGTATGTGTGGACATGGCCTTACAACTGCATTGAAAGCATTGCTTGAGTTTTGGGAAGGGTTTAGGTCAGTGGTTTGCTAGGTGATCTGTATGTCAAGCACTGCATGTAATAGCAAACATCTAACAAAATGTGTTGGTGCCAATAGCCAATGGTTAACCCCCAGGGGTCTAAGGGTGTTTTGGGGCCATGGAGAACTTTTGACATGCACTGACATTTGTGTTGTTTTCAGTATCTTAAAAACTTATTCATGGCTAAAGTTTAATGACAATGTAAACTGTACAAGCTGGGCTACAATAATACCTAAGCAGCATGTATGTATGTGTTTGTATCAACATATATAGCACCAAGCTGCTCACACCTTTTTAAAGGACATTAAAATTTTAATTAAGAGTTTGATTGGAGATTGAGAGGAGAAAAAAAACAGAATGAAACAGAGTGGTGATGCTTGGATGGGTTAAGAAAAATAAAAAAAGGAAATTGTAAACCTATGTATAATGCTATGCGGGAAAGCAGAATTGTGGCGAAAAAAAGATAAAATAGTGATGAATATATGGAAAGTTTTTAGAATGAAAACAGAAGGATATGTGGAAAAATTGTGGATTTTAAAAATTAGAACATGCTAGAAGAACTTTACATGATTTTAATGACCAAAGCATGTCAAACTTTTTAAAGAAATGAACTGGAAATTGACAAGATTTTAATGAGTTTTTTTTTTTTTTTTTAAATTGTGTTGTAATGTCTTTTAATGAATAAAAATGTTTTTGCAATTTCTTTAATTAAAAAAAGGTGCTCATGGTGACCTGAGCTTGATTTCTTGTCGATCCTTCCCCTCTCTCTGCTCCTTATGATTTCCTGTCATTCTCTACACTGTTCTATCCAATAAAGGTTTAAGACACCTTAAAAAGTTATATAAAACGTGTAACACAATATATATATATATCCTAAGTAGGTCGTTGCGGTGGTGCAGTGGGTAGCATGATCGCCTCACAGCAAGAAGGTCGCTGGTTCAAGCCTCAGCTGAGTCAGTTGGCATTTCTGAGTGGAGCATGTTCTCCCTGTTTTTGCGTGGGTTTCCACTGGGTGCTCCGGTTTCCCCCACAAGTCCAAAAACATGCGGTACAGGTGAATTGGGTAAGCTAAATTGGCCGTAGTGTATGTGAGTGAATGAGTGTGTACGGATGTTTCCCAGTGAGTGGTTGCAGCTGGAAGGGCATTCGCTGTGTAAAACATATGCTGGATAAGATGGCGGTTCATTCCGCTGTGGTGATCCCATATTAATAAAGGGACTAAGCCAATGAATATCCTAAGCAAAATATTAGCAAAAATAAATGTAGACAGCCCTCTCAAGTGGATTTGACATCTGAAACATGCAACGAAACATACCCAGTGCAACGCATTTTACAAAAATGTAGGATGAGGTCAGTGAGCCTTGAAGTGGATAAATGAGTGTTTTTTATTCATTTACACTTTCACATTGCATTATGGGGCCTTGATCTTTGCTCTGACACTGTTTGATGTTAAGAGTGGGACTTTTTGCCATTAGTTGTGCTGCATATGTGTGCATGTACTGTATGTGTATGTGCACAAAAGCTCATGTAAAACAGTCCTACACATTATGTAGTACATTAACACTCTATTTGCCACAAATCGACTGCTACTGAGGTTAGTGACCTGACCTTATATTTTCAATGTGTAAGCCAAATAATCCCCCATTAATGGCAGCAGACCAGCAATAATATGCAATATACATAAGCTCAAATCTTGTTTGTGAAAAAAAGCGTTATGTGGACAACATACAGTATAAGACAGAAAATAATAAAGACGTTCACGCCACCTAAAGCTGACAAACACAGAAGTACACTGGATGATCACAGCACAGAACAGAAGATTAGACACTGAAGAATAAGTGTGTTTGTGTGTGTGAGTAAGAAAAGTGAAGGAACGAACACTTTTACAATGAATAGTCACATAAAGAGAATAGAAAATGCTAACCACTTTGTCCTCCTTCTTCTCCAGCATCACAGGACCAGCACAGTGACAGAGAGAGAGAGAGAGAGAGAGAGAGAGAGAGAGAGATGGTGGGTGGGGGAGAAGAACAAGAGAGAAGTATGAAATGACAATCAGAAGTAAAAACAAGAAACCATTCAGATGCATAATGGAATAATAAGCACAAATAACTGCACTGGAATTAGCTAAATATGTCGGAATACAGTTACAACATATCTTGAAAGGCAGAAATACTTTTCTAAGCACCATTTCTTCACTGGATGTTACAAGTGTTATGTACATTTTGCAGGTGTGTTGCCACCCACAGAGCAAACCTGAGAGGTGCAGCTTTTTGGACTGATATTTACACTCCAAAAATTGTAGCGGAAGGAAAGCTACATCATGGATCACTAAAAACTATAACATGACAATTTGCTTAACACAACTGTGTTAAAACACTAATGTGACTAATATGTGACACACTCATACGGCAGTGATTTTTTGTAATGCTCATAATTTAGATCAGAATTCATAATCATTAGATGATTTTCATGTTCACAATACAATTCACCCATGAACTCTTCATCAGTTGTTTGACACAGTGAAGAAACCAAAGAAAGAGTCACACTGCACAAAACAAAATAGGGATACTGCTGATCCACTGGATAATGAGCACGCTGTTGCCTTTTTTCAACTTCCATGCAAACGAGTGTTTAAAAACACCAGCCTACAGCACATTACTGTTTCTAATTGAATTTATTGCATTCATATTAGATTTCAATCTCAGTTCACACATATTTATTGTTAATTTCAGGCTGGCATAAGGCTTTATTAAAGTTTAAAATTTTCATTATATTATATCAGTGAATCATGTCTTAAAGTTACCTCATCTTAATTTACAAGCTTCTGTGTTTAATGTTAGTCCTAAAAAAGACTAAAGAATTCTTTATTAAATCTATATTTAATTTATGTAGTGAGAACTGTGCTGTTATTTTGCTTTCAATTATTCTTTTCCTTTGGATTTGAATGCCTGTAAGCTTAAAGTAAATAATAATTTAAATAATTTGTATGGTTTATATATGTTCTTATCATAAGATTTGTTAAATATCATACTAGGCTTATTTATTACAGGCTCTGCAGGTTTCATCAAGTTAAATTTAAGACATTAAAGACATTTTTTAGACAATTATGATTAAAATGTTAGACTCATAAAAGGCTAAACGCTAAGGAATTTTTCAAATGGCCTGGATGGAATGCCCTAACAAAAAAATTATTGTAATTTTATACATTTAATAATACAATAATAATTTAATAATAAAAAATAAGTATTTTAGATATTTCTTAGTAAAATATATTAAGTATTGTGTAAAAACAAGCAAACTCTACCTGTATCCATACTCTTTTTTCCAACATAAACAATCTTAAAATTTTTGCATTTTAAAAAATGTAATAAACTGAATCTATGCACAATATTCTGTCCAGATCAGCGTCCTCAGCAGTAAATACATAAAGCGCTTTTAAAGAAATGTTATTGTAAGTAATAAAAAAATATATATTAAATCATTATAGTAAATAGAAAGAAATTACCTTTTAAAAAAAAGTTTTATTGAGATGGTTATTGGTGATTGTATGGGTGTTGGCCAGATTTGGTAGCAATACATGAACAAATAAAAGTTAAGACCTGTTTAAAAAAAAGATTTAAGACCTACAACACAACATTTCAGTAAATTTAGCACTTTTTAAGGCCTAAAATTTAGATTTTGAGATTTAAGAAATTTTTAAGACTTTAAGATCCTGCGGACACCCTGTATTAGAATACAGGAAAATATGCTTAAAAACAACTAAAAAAAAGATTGCTGACTCTACATTTGTTTTAATGTTTCATTTAATAAATTAAACAATGCTATCATAATAATTGTACTTGCAAAGTTTCCAAGCTGGGCACTACACTGGATCGAACTGATTGCAATGTCATCGTATTGATGGTAAATTTGCTGAAATGACCCACTCACTATCCTTCAGTTTAGTCTTTGATTTATCAGGGTCGCCACTGTGGAATGAACCATCAATTACTCTGGCATATGCCCTACCAGCCGCAACTGCATGTCTTTGAACTGTGGGTTGAAATTTTCATATGAGGGACAACTTTTTGAGTCTGTTCACTGGGAACCAACTCTAGCTACTCGTAGCAATGGATCTATTAAGTGTATTTCATCGCTTTTAGCTACTGTTTCCAGTCCAGCAGATTGAGTAGGTGTAGCTTTCTATGTTTAACCTACAGGCATCTAGCGACTCCATTATCAAGCCTGCCACTCTCATTAATAGCGCAAGCCAAAGGGCTCTGAGAAACAACATGCGCTCATTTCAGCGAATCTAACCTCAGGGCAGCACCCATCCGCTATACCAGCAGACACTGAGCTGCACTGCATCACAGACGCCATGTCTACTGCCATCCCAGACACTGACAACAGCACCTGAACACACTCCAAACTGACCTGTCTAAGCTTTCTCACACCCAGGATCAGGTTTAAACCACACGGCTCAAACCTAAACCTTATCAGATGACAGTTTTACAGTAAAATCAGTAAATATATTTATTGTAGTCTAATAAGGCAGGGGACAACAATCAGACCTACAGCACAGGACGCTGGAAAAAAAGGAACCAGATCATGTTCTGGTTAGAAAATGTACTTATTCGCAAACTGCATTTTTGAAATTTATTTAAAATGTAACTGATAGCAACACACAGTTTAACGAATAACAATAATCAATAAATGGTAGATATATGAAATTCATTTCACAATAAGATCCATTCGTTAATAAGATTAGTAAATACATTAACTAACATTGAGAAATACTGTTTCTTACAGTATTAAATCAATCATTGGTCACATTACATTAGATATTTACAGTACAAACGCTTTATTAAAATCCACGTGTTTGTTAATGATAACATGAATGTTAATTAAGGTTGATAAATGCTTTAGAATTGTTTCTCATGATAACCAATGTACTATAGTAATGTAGAAACAGAACTGTACTAACAATCAACAATATTTTTCTTTCTATTCATTTAAACACTCATTCAATAATTACTTTTGCTTTGGCTTAGTCCCTTACTCACCACAGCGGAATGAATCTCCTCATTTAAACACTCAAAATAATAATTATAATCAAAAGTATAATTAGAATTGTGATAACTGAAATGAAATTAAAATGCATACTAATTTTAAGTTTTGATAAAAATTACAGTTGCAAGTGTTATAGACGCTTTTCACATTTTCGGGTTTCTCAGCAGCAGAAGTCGTCATGGTTGGGTAAACTTAGACCGCTGTTGTGTACAACAAATTTTTTTTTTTAAAATCCTATTTGATGAAATAATAAAAATAAAACTCCACAATGGTGTTTTCAAGACTTTCAGAAAAATATTGCGTTGTACTGATGACGGCAGCCAGAGGAGAGAATAACATCAAATTTACTTTCAGACCCATATACGCTGCATTAGAAACACGTTGCATAAGTGGTGAATTTTTTCTTAACAGTCTTGTGAAAAGATCCTATCGAATTCTATGCATTTTTTAAAGACTAATAAAAGCTTAAATGAGCATGAAGAATTTTTTTTAAAGATATAAGGGAAGTTTTCGCATACAGTTACATATTTATAGATTTGAAATATCCAACAACGATAAAATTGTATACAAATAGCCAATTTTGTGCCAATATTTTTAAGACTTGCTTAGAAAAAAAAGTAACTATTTAAAAAAATGCATTCAAATAACTAATATTGTGTTTCCAATTTTAAAGTCTTATTTAATTTAACATTTCCTTATAACCCCCAAATTTTGATGTTTAATAAATAAATAAATAAATAAATAAATAAATAAATAAATAAATAAATAAATAAATAAATAAATAAATAAATAAATAAATAAATAAATAAATGTTTATGTAAGGGTGCTTTCACATCTGTGGTTCAGTTCATTTGGTCCGAACCAAGGGCAACAAATAATACACTGTGGCATTTTTCTGCCATTTTTGGGTCCTTTTCACACCACACTGATTGCTTTGGTCTGAATCAGTTGAAAAGAACCAAAATGCAGTCATCTGACAAAACCACAATAGTATGAAGCTGCAGGCCCGGAGACCCAACCGCACGCTCAGACCTGTTCGCTCAGACGGCTAGACCTGCACTTCCAGACCTTCACAGTGCCACCTGCTGTTTAAAAGATCGACTAACTTGATTTCAGCTGCTTCTAAATTGTAATTTAAACTATTTTTCTACTATAAAATATTAGGCTGTAAATAGAATAGATTATTATATGAAATATTAAACGTACTAGATTTTTGATTTAATACAATAATTCTATTGTATTTTTATTAATTGTATTTGTAAATATATATTGTTCAGTTGCTTCAATATTTTCAAACATTTGTTGTTGTTGTTTTTTTTATCATTAAGGATTTATCACTGTTTCGTATTGAGTTGAGGGAATGAATATTATCTTCATATACAATAAATTTCTTCACATACAATTATAGTACTCTAGGTAATTTTCTCACAACCAACTTTATTTTTGTGTACTTTTTCATAAGGTCCTACAAGTCAAGTTGCAAACAATACATGGTAAAATGGTGAAAAATAATAATTGGAGTAATAATTATTTTTTTACGTAGAATATAACATCAAACAAAATAAATGCTTTACATTCTTATTGGGGAGATTTTTCATTTCTAGAGCAAAAAAACTGGAAATATCTGCAGTCTTTGGTACACTGTATTAGTGTTGGCAGAGACCCACTTTTAATAAAAAAAATTTGTTTTGATTTCACCTAATAGAGCCCATATTGTAAATTCTATGCAAATTTCATTGATATTTTGATTTCCAAAAAACATGTTTGTAATCATTACATAACTTGTAAATAATTGATAAACTGTTATTGTGTTACTGTTATTGTCTTAGGTAGCACTCTTAGATAGATAATGCAGAAATACGTACAGTAGACCTATACAGCACTAAAATATGTTACAAATAATAATTGCGCTATATATTATAGGCTGCATTTTATTTTAACTTTTTTACTTTAAAGTTTTTTTTTTATTTTGCCAGAAAACATTGCTAGAAAACTGTCCCAGAATGGTACAATAATAGATAAAATAAAAGCAAGCTGTAAATATCATAAAATAATGCTCTTTTGACACAAATTTTGATCAAATCAAACACTGAAATAATTTTTGTTAGTGTAATATTTTACACCACATTGATTTATGCCATAAAACTTGATAATTTTCAGGAATCGCTTTAATAATCAAGAACCTTACTGGCGTTTCTGATGTTGCTACTTGCTAGAAAGTGCTGGTCTGAGTGTGCAGTTGGGTCTCCGTACCTGCCGCTTCACCCAACCCAACAGCAGGGGGCACTGTCTGGTCTGGAAGTGCAGGTCTGTGCATGCAGGTCTGAGCGTGCAGTTGGGTCTCCGGGCCTGCAGCTTCCCCTTACTCGACAAAACCCATATCCTACATTGTCCAGGCGTTGAACGTATTTCCTAAACTAATTTTCGATTGGTCAGAATTAACGTGTGGGAAAGAGTCAATGGAACTCCCGCAAGTTGACTGCGCTGGTTGATTGTATCCCTGGTCTAATACTACATGTACGTATGTAGTTTGTATACATCACTTTAGATAAACTACATTTCGAGAATGAAACGCGGGTGTGGCTGGAAACAATGAAACAATAAAACAATATTTTAACGCATTGCAAACAGCAAAGGCACATCACAAGTCATTTCAGGAGGAGGCGTGAATTAATTTAGCTAAACTGCGACATGAGCCCCTTTCACACATACAGACCTTTCCGGAAAATTGCCGGCAATTTTCTGGAAAGGTAGTATGTGGGAACAGGTCCTTTTTGAAAATACCGGTAAATTCGTTCTGGCTGAAAGAGAAGTTGTAACAATTTGCCGGAATGCTGCGCTGTGTGAATGCAGAAGGAAGATTCCCGTAATAAGCGCGTGCACGTCTAGAACGTGCTGACGTGAGACGTCTGCTTTAGCCAATCACAACAGTCAGACGCATTTACGTCCGCGCGGTTTTTGAGAATAAAAACCTTTGAATATTTTTCCAGACATATTTAGCTGCTAGAAGTTAGTCAGATCACGTTTAAATGTTCTTCTTTATGCCAACTGTGTAAATAATCATCGATGAGATGCTTATGATAAGCCGTTATTTGTTTACTTTCAAGCTTTGGGTGTGCCTGTGAAACAGCCTGTGAGCGCCTGCACACGCACATATTATGAACATCTCGACATGCGAAAGTGATCCTGCGAAAGTTGTTCACAACATTGATCATCCACAGAGTTTGTAATTTAGTCAAATGTTTACAAATACAAGCGCAGCCGTTTAAAGCTCATTTGTGGTGAATGATTTCAGAATTTACCGGTATTTTGGAATGGATGTGTGAATGCTCTTTTCCGAAAAATTTCCGTAACGTCCTCGCCTGTGTGAACAGCGCTTTTTTGAATATACCGGTAAAGTCGTTCCGGAAATTTTCCGGATATTTACCGGTATCACTGTGTGAAAGGGGCTATGGTCATCTTCCGGAAATATTACCAATGATCCATCAGGTAATGTTTTTACCTTTCTCTCCCTCTCTCTGTTTAAAAATTGTTGGTAAAGCGCTGTCAACAAATCTTTTTCCTCCACATCCCATAATGCACAGCACATCGGAGTACAGCAGCTGGATTAGTCCAAAAAGGTGCAGAACTTTTTGCGGTTGGGTCTGTTCTAGTTTGGATCATGTTCTCACCCCAAATGAACGAGTGCGAATTAAATAAGGCAGGTGTGAAAACAAGTTATACCAAATTTTAATAACATATTAAAAAGTGGTGAGATATTATCCATAATCCACTGACTGAATATTAGAAACAAAATAAAACATAAACAAACTAACTAACTAAATAACTAACTAACTGTACTGTAGCATTGACCAACACAAACTTTCCTGATTTATTCGCCAGTTGCAAGTATCCCAAAACTATTTTTGAACAATAGTTGCAGCACAAAAAGCCTTCATTGTGTTGCTCTGAAAGCCTATATAGTACATATTTACTCCAAATGAATACATCAATAACTGAATCTGTGTTAATAATTACATTCACCCCCATGTCCACCCCACTGCCCTCACTGCCTATTCCAGTTCCTCTAAAGCTCTCCTTCTGTTGATTCTACACTGTACTCATTACCACCAAACACTAATTAGCGCTCTGGACTGGGTGAAAGGAACAGAAAGCGTAGGTAAATATCACACTCCAGGAGGTGATCCACCAATTCAGGTGCTCCCCTTTGCGTGGTACGGCTGCCCCTGTGGAGACCCAGCGGCAACTTGGGCATCGCAGCATGGGTGAGCGGCGACCCCCCGCGGGCAGTAGCGTCATCTCCTCTGACTAATGCCCAATTAACCTTTCGCTCGCCTTTTCTCCTGTCCCTGTTTAAATGTGCACAGATGCAGCTCTAGACACAGAGGACGGAGGAGGTACTCACGTTATTGGAGCGCAGAGAGACCCGTCCTCCGCACCGGGCACAGAACTTAGTCTGGCAGTAGGAGCACAGGTTTCCGCAGCCGTCAGCAAACTTGGTCTTGTGGCAGATGCCACAGGTGGGGGCGTCATCCTTGTGTTGGCCCTGCTGCCTCTGCTGGGGCTCCGGGCCAGTCCGCCTCACCTGCTCCTTGTAGTTGGCAAACTGCTGGTGCAAACTGGGAGGATGAGAGAGAGATGAAGAACAGCAGAATTTAGGCTCAAATTTAACAGTGGACAGTTTAACGTTTTTAGCTTGTCTTTTGATTATAAAATTATACAAATAATGATAAATCAGGGACTAAGCTATTGAGCTTGCCGTTTAACATCTTTTTTATTTTATTTAATTTTTTCAAATGTCACTTGTAAATAACAATGTAGCTTAATAATTACCCTAATTTTATCCCTCAAGTGCAATTCAATAACCCTTGTATTTTATATGACCCAATAGTCTCTGCTTTGTAGTAATGTACTTTCAAATGTAGTATTTTAACATAGTAATTGCTTTATCATAGTAATCCCATAGTAATTCCTCCATTTACCTTCAGATTTTACTGTCAACTTAAAAATCAATCAACTAAACGGAAATAAATCCGTAAATTAACAACTTTCCATGTATTTAGATTCATTATTATGATTATTATTTATTATTATAATTATTATTATTATTATGCTTTAAAACTGCATTTCGGGATCTTGATCACTCCTCTTCAACTTTTTATGTTGAAAAGTGACTTGTATTGTCGTTTTTAATAGTTTTAAATGATATATTGTCTGTATTGTTGTAGTACATTACAATAAAAAACCTGGCAATATAATCAAAAATAGACAGAGCAGAGGTCCATATCCAATAATGTAATTCATAAAATAAACAGAATGAAATGTAAATCATGAAATACAGAACTTGGTAATTACCAGATATTTTTACAGTGTACAATAAGGTGATCAATTTTAACATTTGATGGTTTCATTTTACCATCAATAACATTTTCAGTAAATAATGCCACGGGTTAGAAATTTCACTTTTAAATTTAGACATTTTAATCGATAACCCCTTATTTGCAACATTTTGCCTTCAAATATAACAATATAGATTATGAACCCTCAATTCTTTAACCTCAACTTACCTTCTGATTTGACATTTTCAATTTTAACATGCAGTTAAAGTCAGAATTATTAGCCCCCCTGAATTATTAGTCCCATTATTAATTTTTTCCCCCAATTTCTGCTTAATGGAGAGAAAATCTTTTCAACACATTTCTAAACATAATAGTTTTAATAACTCATTTATAATAACTGATTTATTTTATCTTTGCCATGATGACAGCAAATAATGATCTTTTGACCATATTTGACCATAAATTTGAATTTGAATTTGAACATGAATTTGACCATAAAATGTTTTTTTTTTATTTATTAAAACTGCTTTTATCCTGGCCAAAATAAAACAAATACTTTCACTTAAAATATATATAAGAAAATATATTATCAGACATACTGTGAACATTTCCTTGCTCTGTTAAACATCATTTAGGATATATATATATATATAATTCAAAGAGGGCTAATAATTCTGACTTCAACTGTATTTTTTCTCCTTAACAATTTACATTTAAATATAACAAAAGTACCAAGTGTTTTAACATGTTTCAGCAAATGTATGATTTCTACCTTGTTACCTTCAGATTTCACTGCCAGCTTCTACATTTTAGGCATGTAAAATACATCAATTTTTACAAGTTTTACAATAATTATCCTGCTGATCCACCACTATTAACATTTTACCAACACATTAAATATAACCCCTTTATTATAAAAGCAAATTTTACATTAGCTTATAGACCCCAACTTTTAACCTTTTTCAATGAATAAATACATTTAAAATACAATTATTTTGAATAATTTTGATATTGACATTTTAAAGAAACAAGTTAACAACCACCTCCCATTTTAACATTTTACATATATATTACACTTTTTTTGTTTATCTAATACCCCAAGTTTAGTATTATTATATATGCTATTTACATGATTGACTGTTTTTGCTTATGACAATATTTTCAATTCTTGTTTTTGTTTTGACCCAAAAGCCAACAGTAATGTTTATTATGCCCAGTTTCCAATTGTGCAGTTACCACAGTATTTTGAACTGTAAGTATTAGAATTTTTCTTTTAAATCCATTACACAAAACATAATCAAACTAACATACAAAATCCTAAATGCAACTTGAACGCGCGTTTACTGTGAGAGTACAATATGCTGCAGATAACCACTCGGTTATTATTAATCTAAGTGACTGAAGACAATGTTGGCATCTTTCAAAATATAGTCATACAAAATTTACACAGAACCAGCTATACACATCCAATCTCAAAGTAACCTAGTACACCACAATGATCACTCCAGCTTCAGCTCACTTCTTTCCAACCTATGGGGTCATCCTAAACAATCAATCACAGATTGCATAAACACCTTCCAAAAAAGAAAATCCAACAAAATGATTAACTCGAGATCGTTCTTAAGTTACATGACACCTACAACTCAGCCCAATCTAAACATCTGTCCAGAGCTTTACTTACCCTAAAGAGGTCTTCCTCACAGACTCCTCCGCCATGACGATGCCATATGACGTATATTACAATAAGCAACCTACATAGAGAGTTAAAAGCATATGCTATATGGAATGTAATCAACGTGCGACCAGCCATGCAGAACGTGTCCCGGTGAAAGACAAGGAGATGATTTGAACACCTGCCCTCATCCCTAACCCGGGTCTCCCTCCCCCTGTGCACCCCTACAGTCACCAGCAAACATGTCCTGCGTGTCAAAGAGACACTCAAACAACAAGCTCCAGCACTGAAGCAACAAGTTCATTATTAGTTCCAAGAGAAAGAGTGTTGAGGTTTCTTTAAGGGGGTTTCAGATGTTGATCTTTCACAGCAAATAATACTAAACAGAGTTCAGTTTGGTATTACACTTTAATGTATTCATTGGGGTAATTCAATTTTGGTAATACAGAGAGCAACATTTATCCATCTATCTGTAGGATGGATTTTACTCAGACATACTGTAAATGTGCCCTGTAATAAAACAACGAGAACTCTGGAATCTAAAGAAAAAAGCCCATAGACTTTCACACATTTTTGCCCTCTTTCCTGAACTTTCCTTCCCCTTTAGTATTGATAAATACTCAGGTGGGACTAGTAACAAGGTTTTGTTCACTATCTTTGATAGATTTGGATTAAATCCCAACAGATGAGTAAATCTTTAAGTCACTGGTTAACTTTAACAATCAAACTATTTATTGCTCTTATAGGGTATTTAAAGAGAAGGATGAAACATCTCGGGGTCGCAAGTCTGTAACCAGACGGGCCCATAGTGAAAAGCTCTCAAGCTCAACACTATGTATAATTTGGGCTTATCTATATTCAAAAAATTCATCTTTGATAAGTAAATTATGTTGTGCATTGACTTCTAAATTAGTGTTATTGTGTGACCCTGTTATTGTAAATTGTCCGTAGTGTATGAGTGTGTGTGAATGTGTGTGTGTATGTTTCCCAGAGGTGGGAATAAGCTGGCAGTTCATTCTGCTGTGAATAATAAAGGGACTAAGCTGACAAGAAAACGAATGAAGGAACTTTTCACTGTACTGAGCAGTGTGGCATGGCAGCATAAAGATCTGCTGCGCAGATCCATCAAAATATGTCTTGTAGCAGTGCACGCTGGTTAGAAATTTTGTCTGGATTGATGATTCACCGATGCCACATGACTGTCACATGTGGCATCAAAGTACCGCAACAGTGCTCCGAAATCAGACAACTGTTTCAGCCTGTGCAGCATCTTAAGTGTGACTGCTGGAGCTGAGATAACAACACGAATATTAGACAATTGGCTGTAATTGAGTTCACATCATGACAACGACCACGTGTTTTTGGGGTTTATTATTGGACAAATTCCATCTCACAAATTTCAAAACACAACAAATTATTTTATTAAATATAAAATATATGATTAAAATATTTTATCTTATGTCAAGCCATTTATGCAGAAATGTTAAAAGTGACATTGATGTACCTGCTCTTTCTGGGAAATTTCTACTTAAAGTGTAGCTCATTTGTGTTGGTCCTTTTGTTCAATCTTTTTGGATTAAAGTGCTTTTATCAAAAAAAATGTTTTTATTATCCCAAATAACCCTATTCGTGGATATTTATTTCCTTTTTATGTTCTCTCTTGTTTCCCCCTTATTTCTCATGTGTTTGTTATGTAGGCTACTTAAAATTAATTTATAATTCCCATATTGTTTAAAAATGAACTTGTAGAGACTGCATTATGTTTTATTTGTACTGTAAATCTTTGTTGTTATTGGAATAAATAAATAAATAAATACATGATCACGCCATGTGATCGGTCATCATGACTCCCACAAATTTGAGCCCCGAATTGTTTGGCCTGAAGGCTCCATTTTCAACTCCACTCCCACCTGCGCTCGGCTAATCTCATTGACAACCGGCTGTAGCTTTGCTTCATGTTGAACGCACCTATGTGCAAAAAATAAAAAATAAAAAAATACAACATAATATGAAATGATAGACTTTTAATTTTGTCCATGTATTTCGTCATATTGACATGCCCTATTATTGGTAAATCGTAACATCATACTTTCTAATAACGTCAAATGGGATCTAAAATCTCACAAAATTAAGCACAGCTCGTTAGCTCTTCCATGTTTAAAAATGAAGATGCAACATTCTCCTTTCAAACATCCACATCTCAATGACCTTTAGCTCCAGCATCTAACATGAACTATGCAGCACCAAAAGGAAATTGAGCATCTCTAGACTACAAAAAAAGACCTTTCAGCACTTTATGAAAAACAGGAGAAACAGAGACAAACATTGAGCTTGGCACTGCAAAAGAACATATGAAAGTGCTTTGTACTCTGAGCAGGAAATGATATTCAGGAAAGCAGCCCAGGCTTGCCATAATTGAGACAGCACATAAAACAAAGACCCATAAGTGAAGCGCAAGGTTATACGAAAGTGAACCACAGCTTTACTTTACTAGCGCAAACCCCTCTTCCCCATCACAAATCATTTGCTTCTCTCTCTCTCTCTCCCCTTCTCATCCAGGAATAGAAGTAAACCTTTTGTGAAATGCAAATAAGGTAGAGAGTCTGCA